TTTGTTTGGGAATGATCTAAGTGCTATTTTTTTTATTTAAATTATTGTGTTTAGAAATTATATTTTAATTTTTTGCCAACATAAAAATTTCATTTAATATTAATATAATTTTACATTCCATTTGTTTCAATATAACAAGAGTATTATATTTAATCCTGCACAGCCCCTCTCCCCCCCGTGCTCCCTAATTTTGGAAGTTTCAAAGCGAGTCCTGTTGAAAACATGCTTTCCCCTCGCGCATGTTGGTCATAAACATATTAAAGTCATTTCAAGAGTAATTTTACTTTTATTCCTCAGTAATAATTAAATTGGTTAATATTTTATTTTTCGTTTTTTTGATATTATTATTTTTTTATTTTAATTATCTATCTTAATAAATAAAATATTTTTGAAATACATTTTATCACATATATTAGGAAAAAGATTAGAATATTTTCTATAACGGAAATTATCGAAGAACTTTATTCAGTGAGGAATCAGTAGATATGATCATAACAGGATCTTAATATTTTCCAGAGAATAAAGATTATAATTTGATATAAAGAATATTTTATCCTTAAAAACACTTTTAAGGATAAAATATTTTATTAAGTAAAGATGCAAATTTATTTCTGGTTTTATTTTTTAGGTGCCTTTAACACTCTGATGTTTTCAACGATGCAATTTTATCCATAATTTTTTGGGTTTAATTTTATTTTTTAAGTATAATTTTACTGATGATCTTTAAAAACAAGATTGTGAGTAAAATTGTAGTACTAAAAAAAATTAAGATACTGGGTATGCTTAAAAAATAAAATCGAGGTAAATTTGGATGTTTACCCAATTTTATTTCTGGGAATATGGGTCAAGTTGACCGGTTTTACATGTTCTCCTTGAACAGCTCACCGCTATGTCGGGACATGACAGTGACAATTATGCTTGCTTGCAAACATAAAAATACAAGCCACTTCCTTTTTCAGAAATAACTTTTTTTTTAGGGTTAAATTGTTCAAAGTTATAATATTGAATGCCAGGGACATGTCCATGGATGATGGTGGGTGTTAGTGTGTATTGATAATGGGGCACGTGCATTATTATTATTATTAAGTAAAAAATCAGTAACACATCATCAGAGCGGTCCGCCATTTTCTTAAATTAAACAAAGCTCATATATTCCATAACAAGAGATGAAACCTCAGCATTAACGGTATAAAACCACCAGCAATTCATATATACTCCTCCGGTCCTAATTATAAGACCCAATTGACTTATTTGAGGAGATTAAGGAAGTAAGTTAAGTTGGTTATTTATAATAAATAAGTGTTATCATTCCTAAAATATCCTTGCTAATTAAGTATATTGGCTAAAACTATCATTATTAAAAGGATTATCTTGGAAAAAAATGCATAAATATAAGAGACAAAATGGATTGGGTCTTATAATTAGGACCAAATAAAAAGTCAAATTGGGTCTTATAATAAGGATCGGAGGAGTACTATGTCTAATCCTAATTATAATACTCCTCCGGTCCTAATTATAAGACCCAATTGACTTATTTGAGGAGATTAAGGAAGTAAGTTAAGTTAGTTATTTATAATAAATAAGTGTTGTTATTCCTAAAATATCCTTGCTAATTAAGTGTATTGGCTAAAACTATCATTATTAGAAGGATTATCTTGGAAAAAAATGCATAAATATAAGAGAGAAAATGGATTGGGTCTTATAATTAGAACCAAATAAAAAGTCAAATTGGGTCTTATAATAAGGACCGGAGGAGTACTTTATTTTTACAAATAAAATCTTATAATCAGAAAATAAGATTTTATAATTAAAACCGGAAATAGTTGTTAACACTTGAAATGATAAATCACTTCAGTTTTTAAAATTTATACATTCAACTTCATCCTTGTGCTGGGGTGATGTTAATTTTCTTTGCATCGTTTTAATTTTATCGGGTGTCTCTTCACTGCCATCAATACTACTGTTATTTTTCACGGATATTATTAACAAAAAATCATTTTAAACTTCCTATTTTAGATATTCTTTTTTATTTTCAAGTATATTTAGACAATATTCTCACCATTTCTTTACAGGGTCTCGCGCATCTTGCTTCTCCAACGTCTCATTTCATCTGAGAGATTTTTTCAGAAAAATGTTTAGGTCCAATAAAACTTGAATCAGGTATCTGCCTTGTTTAGAATGGTTTAAAATGATTCGTGAGCAGTTTTATAATTATAATTTAGGAAATATAAAGTAAAAATATTAGAGAAGTTTTATTTTGATTTATGCAAAACATGCTTATAAATATTTAAAATAAGCCAACCCAAATAAGGACTTGTTGAAAACAAATACTCATTAAAATGACTGATGCACAAATGAGATTAAATCTAGTAAAAAGTGCTAGTTTCTCACAATATAACCAATTAAAGTTTTTTTTTTTGACCAAGATATAACCAATTAAAGTTTGAATCTTGCTGAAAGAGTTAACTATTATTAAAATGTAGCAATCAAGATTGATTTGAAATTTTAAATTTTAAAAGTTTTTTTTTTTTTTTTTGGATTCTCCTTTCCAAATTTTCCAGATGATAAAAAAAAAATGAAAAGCATCCCAAATCGGCAAATATTGGGACACATTATCTATGTTTGTACATAGACACGTGTAAATATGGGATGAGGAGGACGAAGTTCTATACCTTCAAGTCAAGGCCAGGGGGTGTTTGGAAAATCCAAAACCATGGTTTCAGAAGCACTTTTCCGCAAAACGAGATAATCTCCTCCACATATTTATTTCGTAATCCGTAAAAGCACTTCTGAAACCTTGGTTTGGTTTCTATCCAAACACCCCCTTAGTGTAATTAGAGCTGGATTCCCACTTTTTTTTTTTTTATAGATGTGTCAGGAATCAGGATTAGATGTTTTACTGAGTTAAAATCAAATAAAGGATTTTTTGTTCACGTGATTTGATATGATATTCGGGAGCCCCCGTCTCCATCATCAGCCTTTTCAGTTTTCATAAAAACTCCCAAAAAATGAAGACCATAACAAACGCCACGTTTTACTGGAATTCAGTGAACATTAATTACTAGTAAAAATTTGTCTCATTACAAAATATTTAGCAAAAATTTTATTGAAGAATTCAACTTCAAAAACTGTTTTTTTTTAGGTTCCAAAATTAATGCTTTTCACTATTACTCTTAATCCTTAAAACTTATCACTCACGCCTCTCAAAACTATAATTTAAAATACTTTTGCAACGTTAAAAGGGCACTAGATTGTGATTTAAGAAAACATGATAATTTTGAACTTTTTTAGTGGGGGGGTTGGCATAGGAGGGGAAAGAAAACGATGAATTATATAATTTGTGATTGATGAGATTCAAAAGTGACAAGAAGAGCTATTGTCTTTAGTTTAATTTTCAAAAGCAATCAAGGAGAATAAAAAGAAAGTTGGTAAAAAGAAAAAGAGTATGACAAGTTGCCAAATAAGTCCAAGTAAGAATAATTGAGTTGTCTCCTATTTGTTTTGACTTTTACTCACTACATTCCATACACAGTTTTCAATTTCATATTTCACGTCTTCTATAAAATGGGGATGGAAAAATACTATAAATAAACGTGTAAGTGCATAAAATATATTCCTAGTAAAAAGTCCACTTTTAACGTAGTTATATCTTTTTCTTTTTTTTTCCTCCATAAAACCATATTTATATTTTAATTTATGTAATTACTTTGACTCAAGAACAGGGTTACTATCTGGTTTTTAAAATACAGGAAACGGAGTTGATAACTCTTGAAATTATAAAGACCAATTAATTAGATTTCTGGTTATCTAATTTCTTGAATAGAGGCGGAGTCAACTAAGGAAGCCTATTTATTTAGGTTGGAATTCAACAACTTTCCTTTCTTTCTTCTGTCCAATTTGAAACTTAAGGCAATGAGGACCTAAATACTCACGCAACTCGAAGTCATAGCAATTGTTCATAATTGGCTCTCACAAGCCAATCAGGACACTTCAAACATTGTTCTTTGTGGAACTCATTTGGTCTTTATGATTAGGTATGTAAAATTCTAACTTGCAACAGCTGTGATGGCCCCGTTATTCCACACCTAAACTCTGTGGGGGTGAAGCAATCTCAATCTTCCATTTAGGCTTAAAACAACGATCAACCTGTCTATTACTACTTTTGGTCTTTAATATAAAAACTAACTAGAGGATTGAATTTGATCAAAATATAATATCTTAATTCACTTGGCTTCCCATTATACCCCTATTGATTGTAAGAATTTCCCATCAGAGATAGTTTCGATACAAGTCAATACTGGATGAATAGTCAAAATTGAGTTTTAGACTCACAATTCTCGAACAAGCCACAAGCCAGCAAAATTCAGTGTTGACTAAATGTTCAAAAACGTTTACAAATCATCCCCCCTTAACCCCCAACTCAAAACAAGATTTTTACTATTCTTCTTCTTTCAGACAATGGACTGGAGCCCCATCATCCACCAGTCTGTATGTAGTATACAACAAAAATGAAAAAGACATGATTTACAACACCAGGATAAATATTTTCTTTTCCCAACAAAGGAAAAAATAGAAATATAAAGCATGGAAAAGCACATAAATATTGAGATATTTGTACAAGAAATAGAGAGAAGCAAATTAACACCAGGAAAAAAAAAAAAAGACGAGTGAAAGAGATAGCAAAGGAAAAACCATTAATGAACAATATTATCTTCCTCTTGAGAAATGCTTCATTCTTATACTAACAGGCAAATTCCCCTGTGAAGAATTGCAGCCAAGGCAACAGGCAATATCTTGTATTGTGTTGTTAAAACTTCATTCTTCTTCACAGATAGATAGCTGATATTGATGACGAACCCGTTAAGACACTGACTACACTACAGATGCATGACAAATCGAAGACGAATCTGTAGCTACCATCATCAAACCAGTTATCAAACAATGAACTTCCTCCATTCATCAACCACCATTTAGCTAACCTTGGTTTTAAAACGAATAACCTAATTCAGTTTCTGGTCAAAGATCATCTCCTGTAACATCAGAAAGGGGAAAGAGAATATTTCATTGGAGTACGGCAGAATTGTTGTTCAAGGTAAAGGGAAAATTACATCCAAGTACCCATATTCTAATAATATTAGGCCTAAGGATCTTGCGAAATTGTAATCATTTCCAAAAATCAAAATTACAATGCAGTTTTACGCGACTTACCCACAACTTTTAGGAAAGCTATTAACTGAATTTAAGAACATTTTACCAGGTTTTAAGTATATTCTCAAAGCTAGTAATAACTTCTAAAAATTGAACCATAATATTTATCATGATTTATAAGATTCTTTACCATAAAATTTTTTTATGGGCTGGGTCCAACATATAATTTTCCTCAAGATTAAAAACGCTAGATTGGTTTTATTTGACCGTGACATGCTTAGATTTCTCAAGTCAGCAAAAAACCATATTTCTGCATCCAGCTGGAACTGCTTAGGTTAGTTTAACAACCTTTTTTTCCTTTTTCACAGTTTTTGCAGAAGACATACCTGATCACATATGGGACAAGAGTCGCTTCGTTCCATCCACTCAAGAATGCAAGATAGGTGAAAGTGGTGTTCACACTTGGTCAGAGTTTTAGGATTCTCAACATCATATTCTGCATTTAAAATGCATATCTTACATAAACTCTTTCAGTGGCTTAAGAGGCAAAGAGAGCCAGGACGGATTAGTCCCAGTTCTATCGACAGAAACACAGTTAAAATGGGAGGATGAGAAAGAATATTTCTACTAATTGGGGCAACTGTACCTTCAAGACAAATTGGGCAACCATCCTCTTCCTCTGTCACTAATACATGAGATTCATTTGATTTTGTTAGTTCTGGCTTCCTTGGAGATGTAGGCATAGAATTAGCATGAACTTTGCATTCCGCATCTTCAATATCTTCACATGTAAGTAAAGTTGCAAAACTACTACCACTAACTGTTTCTCTGCCTGAATCAGAATCAGTTGACACTGGACAACCCAAAACCGTATCATATGGCAATGGTGCAGGAGGGGGCCGGTAAGTATCAGGTGTTGATCCCTGAAGGTCCAAACCGACCAGCAAGCCGGCAGTGAGTGAACCACCAGTACCATCATTAGTAGTTAAAGACTCGTGCTCTTCCAAGGCCGGTGGACACTGAAGAAAAGATTTTCTTAGATTTAAAATATGTCACAAGCAATGTCTATTACGCAAAGTCCCATGTAAAAAGTAGTAAATGGCTATCATCGTGAAAGAGCTTGAACGTGTGAAAAAACAATCAATACTACAATACAGCTCAATCTCAAGCCGCTTTCCCTTTGACACCTCCTGCGGGGGTCATGCTTGCGTGGGAGAAAATTCTTTAGATATTCTCCCAACTTTATGTAAAAGAAAGAGAAAAACTAGGTTCTTATAAAGGTGTTATAATATATAGTAATCATAATTATGTTTTAGCACTTAATCTCTGCAAATTGCCTCATGACAATTAAGGCATTTTCTTATCCCCATTCTCCTCACTGTACAATCTACAAAAGGCAAGAATAAATGTAGAAATGATAAAATAGAAGGCAGCCATGAAAATCCATTTCAATTTCCTTTTCATTTCTGCGAAGAACTTTGCAGGTGATGAAAAGAAAAGATAAACCAGAGATTTGTCAAGATAAGTTAAATTTAAGCTTCCATATCTTAAAAAAATTTGCACCCGCTTGTAGCTGATGCATCATCCAAAAAAGAATGCATCAGGGCAATTTTTTTTCCTGCCAGGTGCCTAACTTATCACAATCAGAGATGTATGATTCATTAGCTCTTCTTTTGCCAATGAATCTAATATTTGGTCAAAAACAGTTCTATAGTCCAAACAAAACAACTAACCAACTGTAATCAACTTTCTTCCAACACTTTTGCCATATACTATTCATCCAACGCTTTTATTGCCTCATTGAATTACTACACCAAAACTTTTAACATTTCTATTAAATAACAGCCAATGGGTTATCTTTTGAGATCCTTTGTGCCCAGAATAAGCATCCATCTAGCAAAGGTTTTTTTTTTTTTGGTTTGGGGGGGGGCTATACTTTTTACTTCAGTGTTCAAAGAAGATAGAAAAAGGGGGGATGTGCACAGTATAAATAAAATCTGGCAGCACCTTTGATGATTACCTGCAGTAAAGACAATTTCAGTCACAATAATCAAAACCCTCAAGGAAGCCAGATTGCAATGGTGCTTTAGTGTGTTGCATTTACAGCTGTGGTCAATAAAGCAGTTCATGGCATTCCAATTGCCACTTATCAACCATCAAATGTTCTAGTTCTACAAAAGCTATAAATTATGCAAGAAGGATAAATTAAATTACTGACATAGATATAAACTGGTGTTCCATGCAGATGAGGTTTTCTGGCACTGCAGCAGCAACCTCCCATTTTTTAGCACTTGTTTCTGTTTTCTTTTTAGCCAAAACCACTAGTGATGGTCTCTTTCATTCCTGTTATTCAGCACAAAAGAAAATAAGAGGCACCCTAAAACTTGTGTCTTATCTGACGCAAGTCTGCAGATGGTATTTACAGCTAGTTCACAAAGAAATGGGCATGATGTTTCATGAAGCAATAACAATGATGTCAACTTGAAATTATGCAAGCAAATATCATGTCCTAATTAATTACAAAATTTAACCAGTGGCCAAGTCCTTCACTAAGACCAGAGGAATAGCATTAATAGGCAGCTGCTGAGAAAAGGTGAATTGCTTATAAAGGAGCCCAAAAATCACAAAGATGTGCGCACGTGGTTGTTCAACATCACGTACTAACGATTTGAAAGCTATCACAATTTTATTTTATTGAATAAAAAAGTTGGATTTAGAAGCCATAGTTTCTTTTCTAAGATACAACACAACATGCAACTATATCCAACATCTTGCACAGCTTGTACAGGCTTCACACATCTGCTATTGCAACCTTTCATGCTGTAGTTGGCAATAGAAAGAGACAATAAGCATCGTTTTCCTTTGAGTACAACTATTTAGTATCCGCTACCACCAGTTAATCCAGATTCAGGAATTGTTGGATTCAAATAGGAGGTAGTTCTCCAGGTGTAGTTTTGACAATATGCATCTTTCATTAACACACAACTCAGCTTTCCAAATCAGTAGCCATTCAATGAACTTTTATTGAAATTATTATCTGGACTCGATAACAAGGCTTAAAGACTATAATACTATAATTCACAACCCTGAATTTATGACTTTTCCAATAAAGGCTCACTACATTTAGCATAAAAAATTCCCAACAAAAGTTAATCTTCACAAGCAACAAACAGCTCAAAAACCAATAATATCAACAAAGAACAAGAAGAAAAGATGCAGCAAATCAATGAAACAACAAAAGCCAGGATAATAATCATAATAAGACCAAGAAAAATAGAGCTAACATCTGCCTTACTACCCAGAACACCAAAGCGACCCCAAAAACTGATAGCCCATCAAAACCATTCAATCAAATACAATTACGAAGCTCACCGCATAAACCCTAATAGACAAATCGGTCCCAGAGGAAAAGGGTGCACAGACCACATGTGAATGAGCAATTAAAATGCATAAAAGTTGTCAACGGCAAAGGAAACCATTGAGGAAACGTAAAAGCTCATACCTTTGGGAAGAAGAGATACAGAATAATAGAACAGATGAATTTCAGGAATAGCGGGTGAGAGAAGGATTGCGAAAGCTTGCACCCTGTGTATGCTCTACTTTCCTGTCCACAGTCCTACTCCTACACGCTCCTCTCATTTCTCTCTCATGGTCATAGGTGCGTTGTCTTTCCTTTCTTACCTTATTTTTTTTATTGCATCTTTTGTGTTATTATTATTCTCTCTCTCTTTTTCTTGAAGATGAAAATGACAAAGTCAACTGGAAAATAGTTGTGGGGCTCCAGGGATGAAGGTGGATCGTTAATCCTAACAAGGAAAGTGATAAACTGATAATGTGAAACTGAAGTTAATGAGTCGAACTTTTTTTTTTTAAAAAGAAAATTTCTTTGCATGCATTAGATTAGATTCATTCACTGATGTCTGATGGATTGCGTCAATGCTTCAATTTTAAGTTTATGAATATAAATCAGAACTTGAGTATTTTTTAAGTTATCCTGAATTCTCTGGCAGAAAATAAATTAACCTGAATTCAGCGGAGAAACTTACAAATATATAATTATCTGCAAATGGTACGATGGAGTTAATAATATGGTGATGATGGCAGCATTTATATGCAGTAAATTATATTTTTAAATGTAAAATTAAAAGTAGTTATGTTTTTTCTTATACAGTCTACAACTTACAAGATGGCAAAAGAATAGCGTTAGCGTTAGAAATTATAGAGAGGGAAAGAGTTTGGTTTTGCTAGTTCCTTTGTATTTTTCAATAATGTTTTGGAGACAAGACAGTGATGATTAGAAGGTAATTTAGTTGAACTCCAAATTGATATGGTTGGGACAGCACATTGTATTATAGTATTTAGGTATTCATTATTGTTGGTTAGTGACCATCCTTGAAAAGACCTCAAAGTGATTCTCTATTTCTATAAATTGATACGTTTGATTATTTGTTTCACCTACTTCAATCTACCAATTTTATAATATCCACCTTTTCGGTTCTCATTATTCCTTTTCCATTTATTATTATAATTTTAAAAGAAGTTATAAGTTCTCTGAATTGAATTAAATTTTATCGAGACTTTCCAGAGAGGTTAGTAACAAGGATGATAATGAATAATAAGCAAACAGATAAATAACCTTGATATTATGAATATACAATAAAACAAATGAATCAATCTTTTAACATAACATGCTACCTCCCCCATTAAAATAAGTTCCGGTAATTTCTTAAAAAAATAACAATAAAATATATTATAATAGTAATTAAGTTTCTTTGGCCGGCAAAATATATTATAATTAAATCAACACGCAATTTTTAGTTGGCCAAAAAATTACAGGTTTGAAATTGATCTGCACCCAAAAAGAAATTCAAAGAAAGAAAGAAGGAAACACCGAAACGCACAAAACGGAGCTCGGAAACTGGGTCCATCGTTCATATTGTTGGGCTCAGACGTTACCTATTAAAAGCGAACAGGCCCAGCCCAAACTTTTTCTTATGGGGCTAAATTGAAACAATTTATATTTGCATTTCTGCCTTAAAAAAAAGCTGAAATTTTATAAATACCAAATAAAGAATGTTAATAAAAATTTATTATCATTTGCAAATTCATACTTATTAATACTAAATAAAGCTGTGTTACCAAAACTGATTTGGGATTTGTAATTTCCAACTTCTTTTTTCTGTCATTCCCTCAAAAAAAAATCTAATGCTTTAAATTTCTAATTTTAAAATAGTCTTCAGAAAAATCATATACACAACTTACATTTATAAATAAGAATTGAGATGTTTCAAAGATTCTCCAATATCATACAAAAGAAAAGGAATATAAAATTATTGTGCAGACTCCGAGGCCAATTATTGAAATGGATAAAATAATTCCTCTTCCTCTCAATTATAAGACGGCAAATAAAACGTTGTTAGACTTTTTCTTTGGTTATCTTAATAAATATTTATGGTCGATATCAATCCTGTTGTCTATAGCCGAGTTTCACATCAGTTCTGGATTTGTTTTCTTGTTGACAAGTCTAACTGACCACCATTTGGGCATTTCAGATGTTAAAAAATCCATGGCATGAAAATTCGTACTATGCTTGGGTCCTCAATTTATGATCTTCATAGAATCAAATTCTTTCCACCTTCACTTCCAATTCTCCATTTCAAACCAAGCCCGTTTTTCGTAATCGTCCCTCAAAACTATAGTTATTCTTCATATCAGTTCCATCCACTGATTCAAACCAATGCATCTCCCTCCGTTAGTAGATGCAGAGCTTTAGTGCCAGTTCCTGATCAAACCCATTCTAGGGATTTCAACACGGTGTTTTTGTTTAGCTGTAGCATTCTTCAAACCTGTGCGAAAAGGGCAATTCTTTCTGAACTTAAACAAGTACATGGGCATTTGTTCAAGTCTGGATTGTACAGTGTGCTTTCTTTACAAAATCAGGTCTTGTATGCGTATTTCAAATGTATGGAAAGTTCAGACGCAGAAAAGGTGTTTGAGGAATTGCGTGTGCGAAATGTAGTATCCTGGAACATTTCGATTCGTGGTATATTTGACTCTGGTATTTGCAATGGCTTGAATCCATACTTGGTTTTTTCTTATTTTAAAAGGATGGTGATGGAAACCGCTCCTGATTTTACCACATTTAACAGTTTGATTGGCTTTTGCGTTCAGTTGAATGATATTGACATGGGTACGCAATTGCACTGTTTCACAGTGAAGCTGGGATTGGATTTGGATTGCTTTGTTGGCAGTGCTCTTGTTGATTTCTATGCAAAATGTGGCTTAGTTCAGAATGCAAGGTTGGTTTTTAGTTGTGTTCGGTTTAAAGATTTGGTTATGTGGAATGTGATGATCTCATGCTACACTTCGAATTGTTTACCCCTGAAGGCATGGGCCATTTTCAACTTGATGCGATTGGAAGGCGTAAAAGGGGACGAGTTCACATATAGTAGTCTAATAAGTTCATGTGTTGCCTCTGATTGTTATGACTTTGGAAGGCAGATTCACAGTCTTATCCTTAAACAGTCATTTGATTCTGATGTTTCGGTGGCTACCGCTCTGATCAACATCTATGCCAAACATGAAAACATAACCGATGCTCTACGTGTTTTCGACAAGATGGTAATTCGAAATGTGGTGTCTTGGAACACCTTAATTGTTGGGTGTGGACAGTGTGGACACGGGAATGAAGTCATGGAGATTCTTAGAAATATGCTAAGGGAAGAAACTCACCCTGATGACTTGACTCTTTCCAGCACCATTAGTTCATGTGGGTATGCCTCTTCTATTACTGAAACCAAGCAAGCTCATGCTCTTACAATCAAATCAGGACTTGAGGAATCTATATCCGTAGGCAATTCTTTGTTAACCGCATACTCCAAGTGTGGCACTATTGCTTGTGCATATAAATGTTTCAGGTCCATCCTACAACCTGATGTTATCTCATGGACTTCAATGATAAATGCATATGCCTTTCATGGTCTTGCCCAAAAAGCAAATGAGACATTTGAGAAGATGTTATCTTGTGCCATAAAACCAGACAAAATATCATTTCTTGGTGTTCTCTCTGCTTGTGTTCATTCTGGGCTAGTAATCAAGGGCCTTTATTACTTCAAACTAATGACGAAGTTGTATCAGATTGAGCCGGAAACAGAGCACTATGCCTGCATAGTGGACCTTCTCGGACGATGTGGGTATATATATGAGGCCTTTGAGTTCTTAAGGTCTATGTCAATTGAACCAGAGGGAAACACATTAGGAGCTTTTATTGGATCTTGCAAAGTACATGAACAGATAGTTCTGGCTAGGTGGGCTGCACAGAAGCTGTTGATGATAGAGCCAAAGAAGAGTGTGAATTACACTGTGATGTCCAATATTTATGCTTGTTACAAGCGCTGGTGTGAAGTGGAAAGATTGCGCAGAAAGATGGAGGAAAGGTGCAGTTCAAAGGTCAGAGGTTGTAGCTGGATAGAGATTGGTAATGAGATTAGTTTCTTTGTGTCTTGTGATAGATCCCACCCTGAAGCTCTAGAAGTGCATGCTACGTTAGCAATGTTGATAAGTACAATGAAAGAAGATGGCGTTTGGATTGTGTAATTTGTAGAGCTGGGAAAATTATTAGAATACATACCTAAACTAATTATAATTGTATTTCCTTATAAAAATAACTAATTTAAGTTAATTGTGAACGATCATTTCAAAAACTACTTCCGAAGCAATCATCAAAAGGGATCACCCCCAATTTAGTTGTTTTCTTTTTTGTATTTATGTATGTAACTGCCGGTGACTAATGGAGATAACTTCAGTAACTTTCACTGCAATTCTAGTAATTTATGAGTTCATATTGATTATTAAACTCAATACTATAATGTTTAATATAAGAGTTAAATAACTAATTTATTAATATTAAGAAATTTAGTTTAATTAGTTATTTGTAATAAATTAATATTATCTTTCTTAAAATACTCTTGTTAAGCATGTGCATTAGAGTGGAAATTCTTGTTAAAGTATAGGCAACAAATATTATTTGGGCTTACTTTTTAGGTACTTTCTTGTCATTTTCCCTATATCTAGTGAAAAAAGTGCAATAAAATTCAAGAAAAACAATAAAAGAAGTCATTAGACCAGATCTTATGATAAATAACATGTCTAAGAAGATAGTTAATAAAGTTCCATGATGTTAAGTATTTTATGTAAGTAATCCTGCCTAATGAAATAACCATACAAGGCTTGTGTTGCTGTAATTATACTGATGGATTGAGTTTATAAATTATAGATTATTTATAGCAACAAAATTGTCCATTATAAATTTCATGTAACAAGAAAATCCCAGTATATAACAAACCCATGCGAAAATGAAACACCGTTGCTTCGCGCACAATGCTAATACAGTGTTAAAGCTGCAGCATATTGCCAGCGGAACCACTTAACTTATAATCAAAGCCACATGATTTGATCCCCATCTCACTTGCAACTAATTAAGTTTTGGGGGAAACAGAAGAAGGATGGCTCCAACCAAAAAAGGGAAAGAAACTGCAAAAGAAAGTAAGAAGAAGAAAGAGGAGGGCCAGACATGAATTAATGGGGAATGCCGGGGGGAGTTTTGACTTTTGAGAGTCTTTGTTGAGGTTTCCCCTCAAAGACCACATTGAGTATCTACGACGCTAACGGCTCTCCTCCTGTCCTCCATTTCTCAATTTCCTCATGAGCTTCTTTGTCTTCAAGGGAAAATACCAGAGAGGTAACAGGGCTTGCTTGGAATCCTATTCTGAGAGCAATTTCCTGTTCTTTAGAAACAACAAACAAGAAAAATAATTTTTGGCAAATTGTTCTTTACACTATAACAATTTTCCTACCTACGGTGGTTCTAATCCTTCACAATACGACAAATCAAAATTTAAATCCGTATTCGAAGAGCTACTAACATTTTGATATCCAACAGCATCTTAAACATGATTGTCTAAAATAAGAAAATATCTTTACTTCTAAAAAAAAAGTAGAACACATTTTAGTTATTATAGTCTAATGATATGAAAGCTCTCTTTATAATCTAATAGCAGAGTATTGCTATTTGGTCATTTGTTTTTAATTTTTTTAAAAAAGGGGAAGCCAAACAGCAAGGGGGTTTCATTAATGGAATTGTTGCGCGATCATGAACATGTGTATTTCCTGTTACCACGTGCTGTCAATGTGTTTAATCCACGTGGCAATCTTTTACGGTGCGAGTTAGTCAAATTAGATTTAAGCGCCGCATCATCCCCCGTCAACTTAAACTAACGGTATCTCCGAGTTTTATAAGCAAAAAGATTAACATCGATAATTGAGCAAACAATAAGAGATTAAAAATATTACAAGGACTTAATTTATAATTTAATTTTTGAAATTTTTGCCCACCAAATTTGACCTCATTTTAATTTTAGTCTCTCGATTTTCTTTTCATTTAGAATATTGGTCTTTATTAATATAATAAAAACTTGAATCATTTTACACTTTGAGAAATCAAAACTTATAGTTTCAAACTTGAGAAACTGAAACAAAAATGAAGATAAATTTGAGATTTTAAGGATTATATTAACCTCTTAATTAATTATTTTTAGGATTAAATAATTAAAATTGATAATTTCATGTCTTGAAGCAGAGAGAGGAAAGCGGACAACATTAATTTGTTCAAATCAGCGACGCCACTAATTTATACTACCTTCTATTTTTAACATAAAAACTAACTTGATATTTAATTTGATTTTAAATATAAGACCCTCAATCACTTTATTTCTCATATTTATTTAGTTTTTTCAAGATAGTTTTTATATTTGTTGTACATATTAAATGTTCTTTTTCTAATTAATACACATAGTTAGTAAGGGTATTTTAATGAAGATAATACTTATTTATTATAAATCGTTAATTTAACTAATTTTTTTAATCTATTTAAATTAGTTAACTAGTTGTTATATTAAGGATTGTGAATAGTATTGATGATTTTTTTGGATCCAAAACTTTATTTTATACAAAAATTCTATATTGAATGAATATTCTGACTCAGTACAGTTAATTATCAACTATCAAGAGAAACAAGCCGTGATGTGGGTGCAGGAAAATTCTTTATTTTAAAAATAATTCTCAAATAAAATACACAACAAATTAATTTTATTAAGAATAGTTTCAATAACATCTCTCCAATTCAATATATTAAAAAAATCACGGTAATTTGTCTTTCCTTCCCAATTTTGACTCACCCTTTAATTCAACTTTTCAAGAATGTCGAGTTGTTATAGTTTGATGATGCCAAATATTTTTCTTAATTCTTTTAAGTATAAGAGGGTAAATTCAAATTTTTTTATATAAAATATAATGAGCATCTGAGTTATAAAATGATTGTTTAAGCATAAAATTCTTAGTTTCCCTATAACCCAGTACACACATACAAGAGTCAAGAGTCCCTATCGGCCAGCGCATGGCTTCACTCACCGCCTTCCCTTCTTGACCGCAACCGCAACATACACGCTGGACGGTGGCCGGTAGGGTCCTCCAGGCCCCAACTTCTAAAGATTATAAAATTTATCATAATTAAATAAATCAATAATACTAATAAACTTTCTTTCTCTTTTTAAAGAAACAACAATACATTTCGTGTTTTTTTTTTTTGGTGAAAGCAACAATACATTTCTTTATGTTCACATATCAACCTCAAATATAATATTCTCAATAATACATTTTTTAGTATACCGCCTCAAACCTTGAGTTCAAGATATGTTTTCAACTTCAAAGTTTTAATTTTAAAAAAATGATGCGTAAATTTCATCAAAAAAATATCTAGTTAAAGATATTTGCGCGTATTTGTATTCATAAGAAATAGTTATATGATCTAAAATATTTGTAGAATAAAAAAGAGAATAATTTATACTTATAGTGTATTGAAGAAATACAATTCATATTTTAATTTCTTGCAAGTTGAAAGGCGAAAGTCGTTGCCATTATTATCAAGAGGACGTTCGGCACTTGAATGAAGAGTTGAAGAACCGAAGGTCTCCTTTCTTACAGCTAATGCTTCCACGCCAATTGTCCCCGCCAAATGAAAAGGCCAAGTTCCCGTTCACGTCGCCAGAGTTCCGGCTCCGGCTACAGCACACCCGAACACCGCCATATCTACTCCTCCAGCTATGATTCCTCCAGTGTCACCATCCACAGGTCAAACTCCTCTTGGAACCCAGTCGCGGTTGCGGCCAGATCAGTGGCTGCGGTTTTTGTTGGTTGCTTCACCCCACCGGATGAGAGTAACTCCAGGAGCTTCGTGGATTCTCAGGAGTTCAAAGCTTCCTCTTCATCCTCCGGTAGTTTCCTTTTCTCAGTTTGTATTGTGCAATACAGGGGAAAATTGGGATTCTGTTTGTTGATAGCTGTTAGTGATTCTCTGTGCGTGTCTTGGATCTGAATTTTGACCCTGGTTTCTTAGTTTCGAGGTTTCCATTTCGAAGCCGTATATACTGGTTGGCTAGTGAGAAAACTGTAGAAATGTGAAGACTGGTTGGTTGTGTTGATACTTTTTGTGGGTATCATGATCAAATAAGCATATCTAAGGTAGTAGCTCTTGTGAATCCCTTGTTAATAGGGTTCCTACTTGAGTGAATAATTTCTTCGATTCATAATCCTAGCTTGCATGTTTCTTTTGTTGGTGAGCAAAATCCTGGGCCCTCTATCATCAAATCATCAATTTTTAAGTAATACTCTGTACTCACCCCCCACAACCCTCTCTGTTCTCTGCTATGCGCAAGCAATAACATAACACTTGAACTTAGGTTTGCATTTTCTGCTAGCTGAGAGAGGCATTCTAGCTGAATGGGACAGTGTAGGAATGCCCTCCTCCATTACTTTCACAAATTTGGTAGGGCATCCAATACAATTGCATGACTCAGTATCTGATCAGAAAAATTTTCAAGCGGGCAGGATGATTATTTCATAATAATAAATTCTGTTTGTTTCTTAGTTGTATCTGATTCTTCGGGAACCGGTAGTCAGAGAACGCATAGTTCAAATAGACGAATCAGTTCCAGTTCATACAAGTCAACTCAGGGAAATGATCCTAGACCTCTGAATTTCACCCTGGAGCGTATCTTCCAAGCCACAAGAAACTTCTCCCCCGCTTACAAGGTCGGTCAAGGTGGTTTTGGTACAGTGTACAAGGCAAATCTCCAGAATGGAACTGTTGTTGCAGTAAAGCGTGCCAAAAAGGTTGTTCTTATTCAGCATTCTCTGCTTGGTTGTGTCACCATTTTGAGCATCGTCGTAGTTATTAGTGAAAGTTACTAATTAATTACCTTGCTTTGCAGAGTTTATATGAGAAGCATTCGGGTGTTGAGTTCCAAAGTGAGATCCAAACGTTATCACGGGTTGAACATTTGAATTTGGTCAAGTTCTATGGATATTTAGAGCAAGGAGATGAAAGAATTCTTGTTGTGGAGTATGTCCCAAATGGAACCCTTAGAGAGCATTTAGATTGTGAGTTTCCTTTTATTGTTTTATTCTCATGTGGTTTTGTCTTTTCCTTGCCACTTCCATAAACTTTAAGTGTACCTGTAACTTATTTTCTTTCGCCAACTTAAATGTATCTGTAACTTGATCAAAAGGAATATTGCAGGCATTCGAGGGAACATTTTGGACCTTGCTTCTCGTCTAGACATTGCGATTGATGTGGCTCATGCTATCACCTATCTTCATATGTATATAGGTATAAACTCCTCGCTCACAAGACCGTATCGCCAGAATGATCATTTTAGTCATGAAAAAGTGTCCTCTTATTTGTTCTCAAGGCTACTCCAAAAAATTTTACAGGCAGTGTATCTTTGTATTTCATTTGCAGATCATCCTATTATTCATAGAGACATTAAATCCTCCAACATTCTTCTTACTGAAAACTTGCGAGCGAAGGTAGCAGACTTTGGTTTTGCTAGACAGGCACCTGACAGTGATTCTGGTGCGACCCATGTATCCACCCAAGTTAGAGGAACTGCTGGCTACTTGGATCCTGAATATCTCAGAACCTACCAACTGACTGAGAAGAGTGATGTCTATTCATTTGGCGTTTTACTTGTTGAACTTGTCTCAGGTAGACGTCCCATTGAACCAAAATTTGAACTGAAGGAGAGAATAACTGCAAAATGGGTGCGTCTCTCTTTTCCCCAGCGATGTTTAGTCATGAACAGATTATGTATTAGCAGAGGGTGTGGAAATAGTTTATTGCTTTTATCTGACATGGTTTTTCATGAGGGCAGGCTATGAAGAAATTCATTGGCGGTGATACCATCTCGGTGTTGGACCCGAAACTAGATCACACTGCCGCAAATAATCTGGCGCTAGAAAAGATACTTGAACTAGCCTTGCAGTGTTTGGCACCTCATAGACAAAACAGGCCTAGTATGAAGAAATGCGCCGAGATCCTTTGGGCCATCCGCAAGGATTACAGAGAGCTATCAGCTTCAGATTTTCGTTCATTTTCCTCTTCTTCCCAGAGGAGTGCATCAATAAAAGAGTGAGAAACGCAAAAAGATTTCTTTGAAGGATAAATAATATGCATTCGTCAAAAAACCTTAGGTTCATTGATCTCTAGTCCTTGAAATTGATATACACAAATTGTTCCTTACAAGTAACAAACTCATCACAAGTTATTTACAAGGATTAGCGGGTGCATTGACATGCCAGAGCTAAATCGATGTAATAATTCAGGGGCCAATCAGTTGGTTTAGAATACAGGTGTAAGTGGATATACTGGTAATTTTATGGAACTTGTAGATAGCATTTTTGTTCCAGAAAAACCTGTCTTTTGCTTTCTGTGATCTTTTAACTTGCCTTCTTTTGAAGAAATGTTTGATAAGCGACAAGGAAACTTGCACTCTGTTACTTGGAACCATGAGAGCCGTGCGAGGGAGAAAGCTTTGATGTAACAATTGGCCTCCTAGCTATCTCGTCTGTATCTGTTAGTAATGGGTGTAGTTAGCAGCAGATTAGTTTTCATTGACAAAATATCTGATCTCTCTCTCTCTCTCTATATATATATATCATATCTCTTTAGAAAAAGAAAAAGGAAGGAGGCTAAAAATGCCTGAAGCAACAAGTACAGGAAGAATAGGAGCACCAGAAGCATCGCCCATGAGGATGTGCTGGCAACAATTAAGCGGCTGTTGACAAAATAGACTAATTCCTATTCTGATGATGTGTTGGATTAACAAATCGATTTGTTAATTTGTTGTCTTCTCGAAAGTCGGAGCTAATTTTAATTAAACAAATCTTTTCTTGAAGCATCCTTGATTTGGGTGGTCAGGTGATGTGGCAGATTGCTTAATCTTCACTATTAAGATTAATTGCAGTTTGAGAATTCACTTCAACTCAGTTTTTTTTCAAGTTTCTAATTTCTTTGGACCAACGTTCACGCATAGGCTCATCTCAGTGGATTTACGTGTTTGAGCTAACTGGGACAGGGAGACTGCTGGATTACAAGTTGATAAGACGTTTGTTATTTATTTTTTTATGGCCCATGGCCGCAAAGTGGAACCAAACTAATTTCATTTTGTATTTAATTTTACAGTACTAAATATATAAAAATGCTAGGGAAATTTTTTATCAATAATACTCATTAGTTGTTTCAAATAGTTTTTCCTCAATAGATCGTGGGAAAAGTCTTACTGTTAACCAAAATGCATTCTTGTTCACAATCAAAAGGCACATAAATTATTTTCTTTGCTATAAGTGTCTTTTTATTACACTTAACCAGATATAAGTTCTCTTAATTAAGTTCCCAAAGCCTTCCCATAGAAATTAGTCTTTTCCAAGTCTCTTAATTTTTTTTTGTTGCCCACCCAATTCATCGGAACTTTACTTCGACTATATCTGGATCCGACCCGCGTCGCGCATCTGGCTGTAGTGGGTGAATCTCCCAACAACAATTTCTGTATACGTTAAGACTTGAACTCGAGATCTCGTTTAAGCAGTATTAAGCCGCTTACCACTTTCCAAGCCTCTTATTTTTTTTTTTTTTGGTACAGAACGAGGGCTAGAGCCCAAGTTAGATAATGCCAAGGTCAAACTCGGTACAATCACTGGTCAACAGAGATCTCAAATGCTCCGGACAAGAATCAAAAAGAGCAGTCTTCGAAATTCCCATCTTAGCTAGCGCGTCAGCCACCTTGTTGCCTTCTCTTTGAGTATATCTTACTTCCACCTCCCAGTTATATCTCAGCATGGACACTAATACTATTCTTGTAAATACGAGACTGCTGTGATCATTATGTTTTTGATGGTGTAAAAGGTCAACTAGACCCTTAGCATCTGATTCTAAAATAACTCTTCTAGAACCAAAATCCCAGGCTAAAGATAAACCTTTGAAAACTGCCCATTCTTCGGCCTCTACTGCACTGGTCATACCAATGATGTGACAGAAACCAGTAACCCAGTTGCCCAAATTGTCCCTTATGATGCCTCCGCAGCCTGCTCTTAAAGAATTCTGATTCATTGCACCATCCACACTAATTTTCACCCATCCACAAGGCGGTGGGCTCCATTTCCTGCTACGCAGTAATTGTCCCTCAGTCAGATTTAACTTTTGATTAAGAGTCAGACACAATATTTCCAGCAATTTAAGACAACAGCAGCAGGGTCCGACGGTCTACTTGCAAATTGCAGTAGCAGGGTTTTAGTCAAGCACCTCAGGTCCAAAGAGACAAAGTTTTTAATTTTTCAAAAACAAAAGCCATGGGAAGGCGAGGCCGGCCCATCTCCCAAGCGGAGGCCCAAACACAGCATGGTACAAAAACGGTACGTCATCACCCAAGGCATGCACGCCTGAAATCAACATTTATCGCTCGATCTCCTTCGTAGTTTTATCATTTCAATTACCTAAAAATTTAAATTATATTTCTGGATTAATTTTACCAGAGATAACACAAACTTACTTTTCTGTGTTAAATAAAGACAATATTATATTTTTTTTAAAAAAAAGTTAAGTAAACATTTAAATACTCCTCCGGTCCTATAGTGCAATTCTACACTGCAAAATAAATCTAGATGAGTATGATGTATCCAAAGTCGACTTTTGCTGCGGCCGCCTTGCCTAAAACCGCCCCAAACCCTACAAGACTGAGTCATATAGCAAGTTTCCAGTGCCTCCCAAAACGTCAACATATTAATGTAGCAGAGACCCAAGTGTATGGATTCAGCAGTGGTGAGGAGGATGAGTCACAAGTTCAGTTTCGATAAAAACAAATAGTTGGAGTCAGCAGTCAACAATGGAGGGACCAGAAATTTTAGGGAAGAGAACAGATTTAGATTACAGTATTATATTAATTTGTGTGGAACATACAATATAATGTTTGACCATACGCATTATTATATTATATAGGTAACTAAAGTGGCATTTAATCACCGTTCCATATGCATCTAACGTCTTGATATTATTTTTTATATTTTGAGTACCCTAATTTTATTTATAGTATATTTAACATCTTAAATCATAAATAAGATTAGAATACTGGATGTGATTGTAAAATAATATCAAAAGGTGCTAGATGCATCGGGAAGAAAATAAATAAGATTAGCATGTTGAATGCTCCCAGAAAATACTATCTCTAGTCCTTAATATAACCTAGTTGGAGATTTAATTTGGTCATAAGTATAAGATTTTAGTCCATTTTGTCTTCAATATTTATTCGTTTCTCTTCAAGTAATCCCTACATATGTTAAGAAATTTTCATCAAAAGAAAACTTCAATGCACATGAACAACAAAGATATTTTAGAGAAGACAACACTTATTTATTAAACTAACAAACTCAGCTAATTTTATTAATTTTCATAACTTAGTTATGTAATTCTTACGTTAAAAACGGATGCAATTTTACCTTATATGATAAATAACACATGGACACCGGACACGTATAAGAGATAATGCATGTGTCGCATTTTCTAGCTTCTACCGACCCACCCACGGCGTGCTCTAATTTCATCGCTTGAAATTTTCTGGCGTTTGTGTGTCATGAGTATGATTTTCCTTTGCTTCTTACGTGTGTTTCTGTTTTGTTCTTTGATTAATGGCGAATCCCTCGTCTTTTTCTCTCAGAAATAAGACATTACGGTCTCATTAATTTTAATTGAGTCCCACACGGCGATTATTGATAACTACAAATCCTCTCTCATGTTGATTTTTTCCCCTCCTCGAGCTGTTTGAATTGGATATTTAATTTGAATCCACATTCACGTCCCTAAAAGTAATTAATTAAACACACACACACACATCAAAATAAATCGAAGAGATTATAGAAAGATGCAATTTCCTTTATTCACTTCAAACATTGATCATTATATGTACTCGAAGCAACCAACATATTTGGGTTAGTTAATTGTAAATATTATTGCGTTCTTCTTTTTCGATCTAAACAGACCTGAGCTGTATGTTTTGCGGGTTTTGTTCCCGAATTTGATATTTGATTTCTCTAGTTATTGGCATCCAAAGAATGATGCCAATTTTCTTTCTTTCTTTTTCCTTTATTATTATTATTGTTACTCTTCTGATCCTTAATATAAGACGTATTTAACTAATTTGATTATATTAAGAAAGTTAGGTAAGTTAGTTAATTATAAGAAATTTGACATTTTTTTCTTAAAATACCATAATTATCTTTTTTAATATCATTCTTCCTCTTTTACTTGATTATAGTTGAAGGAATATTTACAGTGATAATTTAAAAAAATTTGATAAATATGAGAAATAGATATTATATTTAAGACCAAAATTAATTTAATAATTAGGTTCTATATTATATTAAGGATCAGAGGAGTATTATTATTGCCTATACCAATTTTCTTAGTACATATAAGGACACCATCGTAGTCGACCTAACTTTAATATATGGGTCCGCACGTTCTGTTTTATATAAGATATTTTTAGACAATCTGAGGGCGATAGTTTTTTTCTTTAATTGGAATTACTATTATTTTATCCGATATATTGAAGAGAAAAAGAAAAAAATTTAATCTTCTACTTGATTTATTTTCTTGAGGAAAAAAATCATAATTTGATGGGAAAAATAGTCAAATTGGTATCGATAGCAATGGGTAAGCTGAAAAGCATGCGAGAGTTGCAATCAGAAGAGCAAGCATCATTAATTAAATATTCTTGCTGAAGATATTTTAAATGTAGTATTGATTTGAAGGGACCTTATCTTCGCATATGCTGACTTTTCAGGTTGCGTCTCACCTCATCTTACTACAGAAGATCAAGTGGCTCATCGCATAATGCTACTTTTCCAACCTCGCCTTCCCCTATAAATACCAACCTTCTCTTCTTCCTCATGCATCAAACTCACTATAACTCTTGTTACTTACTCTGTATCATCACAGAAACCAGAAGAAGCCCTAAGCATCATCATGGAGAGGAAGTCACTTGTCGCTGTCTTTTCCATCCTCATCCTTCTCTTCGCTGCTCGTAAGTCTCTATTACGACGTCGATGAGTTCCTTCTTCTTCAATAATATTTTGTGTTAATTATGTAAATGAATGAATGCAGAAGAAATGGTGGTGAAGACGGAGGCAAAGACATGCGAGAAGCCGAGCAAGTTCTTCACAGGAGGATGCATTGGGACGACCGGCAATAAACAGTGTGGCTATCTCTGTGTCAGAGGCGAAGGATTGCTCAGTGGCGCTTGCAAAGGCCTCAAGTGCGTCTGTACTAAAGCTTGCTGAACCTTAATATATATGTTACATAAATAAAACCTATATATATATATATATATAGGTACGTAGGTCGTTGTTGGAGTTTGGTGATGAAATAAGCTCATTAATATGGCTATCCCTTGGATCTGTACCTAGGGAGAGTT